CTGTCCTACGCAATCTGAGCAGTCTAGGAGGCTGAGGCAGGAAGATTATAAATTAAGCGCAACCTGGGAAACTTAGTGAGACCCTTCCTCAAAATGAAAAAAAAAAAAAAGCCTGAGTATGTAGCTCAGTGTGAAGGTCTTGTGGTCAATACCCAGTAACACACACACACACACACACACACACACACACACACACACACGGTAATTTATTTGACCCTGCGTTCTTATCTTCCTTAAAAATAGCTAATGAAACAGTACCACATGGAGGTGTACTGTCTGGAATGTGCACATGTCCATGCCCGGGTGTTTAAACACCATTAAATAAGTGCTGTTTCTGAGATTTTCAGCAGTCAGTTTCTGCTGACTCTTGGAACTCCTTCTGCATCAGCATTTTTGTGTTTGATTTGGAACTTGTTCTAAATATTCATCACCAAAGAATGAAAGGGAGACTTATAGAGAATGAGGAAAGGCATTCCAGACACCTTTGACAAGCCCGGTACGCTTGCCGTTCCTACCCAAGGAAGCCAGCATCTCCAGGTGCACTGAGCTACAGAACAGAGATTACTGACCACAATGTTTAAATGATGGCATTTCCAAATTATGATGCATTTATTCTTATGGACTTTTTATTTTTTGGCACTGGAGATTGAATCCAAAGCCTTCTCACTAAGCTACAACTGCAGCCCTTTTCTTTTTTTTTTTTTTTTTTGCATTTATAATTTTGCATCAAGGTTTCACTAAAACCCTAAATTGTCCAAGCTGGGCTTGAAATTTCAATCCTTCTGTATCAGCCTCCCAGAGAGCTAAGATTACACACCTGGGCCACAGCTATACACAACTGCCCCGCTGGTTTTACAATTATTTTAAAATATCAAGAATTCATTTCTTGAAGACAAGAATTAAGGAAATTATTCACAAACTCCAAGAACTTTACATTGCTTTGATGGGCAGCTTTGCAAAAGCAATTTGCACATCTGTGATAAGGGGGAAAATCACTATTTAATTATCTATCCCTATCTCAGTCCTCCAGTGTTTGAGCTACTGTATGGTGTAAATATTTGAATGTGAGCTGGATAAATATTAATTAGAGATTTAAGTGACTATTTTGTAAGAATTCTTGTCTAACACTTTAATATTCATTAAGTTTGTACTGTCTGTCCGGGTTCTTCGCAAATATTCATCCATGAAGTTGTTACTATATGTGATTTATCAGCATTTTGCAGACTTAAGAACAGGTCCTCTCAGGGCTTAAGTAATCTGGCAAACACGCCAAACTGTGAACACTTGAATCATGGATGGATTCCTTGACTTCAATTTTAATATCCTTTGTAAGTTCGACTTCCCTTTGATAAATTTTACAGTGGTTATTAATCAAAGAGCAATTAATTTTAACCAAGTGCTCTTGTCCTGCTCAGTAAAATATTTACTGAGAAATTGCAATGCATATATAAATTTATTTATATAAATAAAATTATAATGTTGATTTGAAAACATGTTTAATGACAAGTCATAAGAATAAAATAGGGCTGGAGATATAGCTCTGTGGCACAGGCGCCTGTCTGGAAAGCCCAAGATCCTGAGTTCGACTCCCTGTATCAACAACAACAACAAAAAAAGATTTTTAGACCAGGCGGTTCGCAATCAGCCTGGGTTACAAAGTGAGCTCAAGGCCAGCCTGCATTGCACAGGGAGACCCTGTCTCAAAAAGGCAAGAAAGAGGAATATAAATATTATTAAAATTGCTCCACACATTGTCAAGGAGTAGGAAATTTACATTTGTGAATGTTATTGATTTATGCTTACAACTTTTAATAAATATATACTGATCCACACCAAAAGACTATTTGTTAATTATAAATAAATGTTAATATTTCTTATTTTATCACATGGCAATCTTGCTTTTTAAAGTATTATTTTATTTATTAAAAGTTTATATTTGGCTGAGAAAGAGGAAGCTTTCACCTTGCCAAAATAATGAGCTTTTGTTCTGTCTTAAAATATTTAGTAAGAGTCACCAGAAGGACACCTTTTTCTTTTCTTTCTTTTTTTTATATTTTGTATTCCTTTTATTTTAAAAATAAAAGGAGGAAAACATTAACAGATAGACAACCTTTTACAAAATAGCAAAAGAACAATACAAACAATACAGAGTTACAAAGTGGTAGGAAATTAACAATTCTTACTGTATTACTTATTGATATCTTCAAAGTGGTTTCTCATGAAAACAAATAGAGACATGCAATACTGATCAATCAAGGACTCATTAGCTGTTTCTTTCAGCAAAGAAATAGGAGACAGTAGATCAGCTATGTTAATTATCCTGTATATACATACATACAAAATTTCTCCTTCTTTCCCTTCTCTTTTCCCACATCCCAGTTGCCCTTTACCCTTGAGCATTTTGCTGTCATTTCACAATCTCTATCATACCTCTGAGTTTTTATTAACTCTTTCAGGTTTTAAACTAGTGAGACAAAGTGGTGCTTACACATGCAGGTATGACTTGTTTCACTTATGCGTATGTTCTCTAGTTGTGACCATTAATCTATAAAAGCCTCGAGTTTATCTTTCTTTATAGCTGAGTAATATTCCATTATATAAAAGCACCACAATTTTCTTATCCAGTCCTCAGTGGATGGATGTTTGGGTTGCTTCCACAATTTAGCAATTACAAATTGTGCTGCTGTGAACATAGGTGCACATATATCACTGTGAGATGAGGTTGTTAGATCTTCTGGAAAAATACCCAGAAGGGGAATAGCTGGGTTGAATGGGACCTCTAGTCCTAATTTGCTGAGGAATCTCCAAACTGATTTCCACAGTGGTTTCACCAGTCTGCATTCCCACCAGCAGTGGAGAAGAGTTCCTATTTCTCCACAGTCTCACCAGCATTTGTTATTGGTTGATTTCTTAATGCTAGCCATTCTTACTGGGGTAAGGTAGAATCTCAGTGTCAGGTGGAATCACAATCCCTGACCTGAAATTATACTACAAAGCTACTGTAATAAAATCAACCTGGTACGGGCTAAAAAACAGTCCTGAGGATCAATGGAACAGACTGGAAGAAACAGCCACAACCAAAAACACACTCAGCCACCTAATCTTTGATAAAGGGGCCAAACAAACTCACTGGAAGAATGATAGCCTCTTTCATAAATGGTGCTGGAAAAATTGGTTTGCCACCTGCCAAAGACTGAAAATAGACCCAAGTCTATCACCATGCACCAAACTCAAGTCAGCATGGATCACAGATCTCAACATTAAAACAGAAACACTAAATCTATTGGAAGAGAAAGTAAGTAAAAACCTTGAAGACACAGGGGTAGGCAGAGAGTTCATGAACAAAAATTAAATTACATGTGAAACACTTCAAAGAATCAACAACTGTGATCTCATCCTACTGAAAAGTTTCTGTACATCTAAAGAAATCACCAGCAGAGTAGAAAGAAAACCCACAAACTTGGAAAACATTTTAGCTGACTGTCCCTCAGACAAAGGGCTTCTATCTGGAACATATAAAGAGTTAAAAATATCAGGCCCCCAAATTCAAAGACCCAATCCAAAAATGGGCAGCTGAGATGAATACACACTTCTCAGATAAGGAAATACAAATGGCAAATAAATACATGAGAAAATGTTCAACATCATTAGTCATTTGAGAAGTGCAAATTTCTTTTTTTTTTTTGAAATGGGAATCAAACTCAAGAGCTTGCACTTGCCAGGCAGGTAATTTGCCACTGAGCTATATCTCCATCCCATATGTTTCACATTTTCACCCCCTTCAGTAGAGCCCAGGTAGAACAAGGAAGTGAGGAAAAAAATTCATCTATAAGAATGAAAGAAGTTTTTTACTTGTTACTGTCTTTGATGGTTCGATCAGGCATACATTCTTATGTCACATGGACTGAGCAACTTTGTTGAAGAGAAAAGTAGGGATTATCAGTTTCTATCAACTTGTCTTGAGGTCATGTTTCATTTTTGCTGTTTTTCTGTTTTGATTTTGTCTTCATTGTTGTCAGTTTTTTAATTTAAAAAAAAGAATGAAAGATGTGTTTATATTTAGAAATGGTGAACCCAGCCAAATACATTCGGCATCCTGGAAATGCAGAGACCAGATACTGAGCATCTATCCTGAATTCGGGAGGACAAGGATGGTGTTTCACAGGTCTATGGGTTAGGGAAATGTAAGAAGAGGTTAGCTATAGATTTAAACAACAGAGTAGGTTACAGATCAGAGGTTTCAGCCCCTCAGCATTATGCGAAGATGATAGTATTAAAACAGAGTGATTATTATCTAATCAAAAATTACAGACATCCCAAAGTGGCTCTTTGTGTCTTTGTAATTTTCTTAAAGCTTCACAAGCTACTGACTGCCTTACTCTTTCCATTGTAGCAGGACAAACAGGACTGAGTTTGAGAATCAGTAACTGCGTTATCATTATTACATAGTCATGCAATTCATTCTTTCTCCAAATGCACAATTAATACCTGAAGCCGGGTTACTCACCATTCGCATCTCAGACACCGTGTGAATCATTCTCGGACTGTGACACAGCAACCTGCAGCCCAGCTTTCAGACAGCAGCTATTGTGATTTGGTGGAGGGAGAGACAGGTCAAGATGGAAAGTATTTATTGTCGACACTGACTTAGTGTCGTATAACCAAAAACTCGCTACTCCTTAGACAGCAAGAATGTGCAGTGTGAAGATGAGACGTGTAAAAGTGACTATTCCCAAATATGTCCTAAAGTATCTTTGAAAATAACTGTAACTATTCAGAGCTTAGAAGTTTAATAACATGTTCCTTCTTATTTTTGACAAGTATTTGTTTCAAAATTTGGTTTAAAATGTTGAAATACTTTATTCATTACAAGATTAGGGGCCTCTGTACTGTCAAATACTTCTCCCCCCAGCCCTCAGCAACAGCAAAACCTCACAGATGCTGGTGTGTAAATCTCCTATTAGGAAATACTAACCACCCTTAAAAATCCTGTCTTTCAGGAAAGAACGGTGACCATCAGAAGACAAACTGTAGGCGGATTTGGATTAAGCATAAAGGTAGCCTGCATTTCTAGTCTATCCTTCTAGAGGACAAGCTGTACAGGCGGAAATTTTGTGTATTTCAATGCTTGCTGGTTAATAATTAATAATTATGAGAAAAAGGTATAGCAAACTTTCTGATACTTAGAGTACAATGCAATTTGAATAGGATCTTATAGTATCTGGGTCATATATTAGCTTTTTATTTAAACAATTTAGAAAAAGATTTTTTAATTTTACCTGTCTTGACGTTTAGCATAACTCATTAAGTTCCTTTGTTCTGGTTTGTACTAAAATATATGTACATATCCTTCTTTAATCTTCCAGTGTAGGAAACGCTGATTTTCAGTGAATCCACTGAGAACAAGTTATGCTAATAGCACTGATAGCAAGTGAAACATTCCTTGCATTCTATTCATTGCTTTCTTTGTTTAATTTTCACTTTCATTAAAGAAATCCCTTAATGTCATTGAACAATGGCAGGTTCATTTACTATAAAGTTTTAAAGGCTTTTATTTTGGAATACTACTGATTATTAGATATATAGTACATCTGTACTTTATCATGAGTGAAAACGAGACAAATTTTGAAAGGATAAGAAATTAAGTGAATATTAAAGAGTTCACCCAGTAACTGTAATGTCCCTAATAAACCTTTATTTCTGCCTAGATAAGTTAAATTTGACTTTGTCTTGATGCTTTATCTATGTAATGAATATCACTTGTATGTCTCAGAACATGTTTCGCTGAATTTTAACACAGATCAGGTTTTATGCTCGGAAAGATGCCCTCTGAATTTTGTGAATATCGTCTTCAGTCAACTTTCTGAAATGACCCGGGAAAGAGGTCAATATGTGAAAGCTCTGTGTTGTCGGTAATGAGAATATTGCCTACAAAACATCAGTTCTAAAATGTGGTTTGCACTTCCTGTACCTATCAGCAGCTAAGACCATGGGGACATGCAGAACAAATTACAAGATGTATAAACTATGCCATGAGAATTGTATAATTCAATAGACAAGCTTTTTCGGTTTTGATTGTTTTTCTGCCAAGATAGATATTAAGATTCAGAAAAATCTAGAGGCAAAATTAAAGGCGTACCATTAAATATACTAGAAAGTCCATGAACAAAATCAAGCAGCAAATTTGATTTCATTTGCATAATGCATTTTTCCTGATCCTGGCAAGGATTCTATTTCAGTAATGGAACTAAATTAATTTTATACCAATGAGAAATGTTCCTTCCCTTTTCTGTTTTAATCTATAATTTAAACCCAGTAACACAATGCTGTTTATTTTTACTTAAATGGCATATTTTAGCTTAGTGTTTAAAACATTATGAATTTTGTTAAATTCATCTTTGCAGACTAATACTTTCATTATTTCAATTCAAATATATAATATAGTAATTTTTTCAAAAAAGTGTATATTTACTTTGTTTTGCCTCTTTTTGAGACAAGGTCTCCCTATGCATTTCAGGCTGGCTTTGAGTTCACTTTGTTGCCCAGGCTGGGCTCAAACTCACAAGGATCTTCCTGCCTCAGCCTCCCGAGTGCTGCAATTGCAGGCATGCAAAGTTATGGTCGTGAAACTAATATTTGAGCTATGTGTTTGCCCTTTTTTTAAGAATATTTAATGAAAAAGGGGATTATTGTACACACAGACACTAACCCTCAAAGAGCATCCAAATTTTTATTTAGAGTGTTATACATTCACCATAAAACAATTGCTTTTATGGGTTTGTCTTTTGGTTTTCTTAATACTGACTTTTGAATTTTTCATTTCTATTTTGCAACTATCTTTCATTCTGGTTATGTTTATCAAAATATTAAAATACTGTAAGTAAAGATATCAATATACAACTCCCTTTTCTTTGTCATGCTAGAATTATATAAACTACTGTTTATTAGCAGTATTTTCTTTAGAATTGAGAATTTTAAAACATATATATGTAATGAACATTTTTAAAAAGCTATTCTAAACTAGAAGAAGAATAATATTGTAATGCTGAATCATTTGTTTATTGCTACCAGGAGAAATTTTGAGTGAATAATATAATTGTGCATATAAATATGCAAACACATACTTTACCTTTATTTGTTTCAGTTAAATAATTACATCTGACACATGCTAGAGGTTTTACAGTAAGCATTATTAATTAAAACTTTTAATATCTCAACAAGGAATAGCAGAAGGAAGATGATATGTTAGCCAGCTAAAAAGTCAATCACCAACAGTGTTAGTATTCATACAGGTCTGAAGTGAATTTCACTTGATTTAGAACACAGAGTATGTCAGTTTTGCCTTCCAAAATAACTATTTTGTTACAAAGTTGGCTGAACATTAAGCAAACAGGCTTTGGAGTCAGAAAACACTAAAATATTTTAACATAATCTCTTAGCAGCCCAAGGCAGCTTGCTGTGCTCTCACTAATCTCGGTTCCTAGCACTTTCCTGACGTAGTCACCAACATGCCTGGAAGAATTCCTCAGTTCTCCAATGTTGCAGTCGGTGCTCTCAAATTTGATGGGCAACAATGCAAAGGGGATTCTGGCTTCTTCGTAAGGTTTGGTTTGTTAACACGCTTCAGTGACTCTAATGACAGGCAACTTACTCTCTGTGGCTGCCAATGGCTCAACATCCTTGGTGCCCATTTCCCATGGGGCACCATCCGAAGCCTTCTCCTCAGACAGAGTCCTTTCAGGGAAGTTTGCCTGCAATAAAATAGATCAACCTTTACATTTATTTTCTCCCCCTTGTATAAGACAATGTTGAACTTCTGATTATGTTTATCAAAATATTAAAATACTGTGCAGGCGGCTTGCAGAATGAGGCAGTTGTACGCCTATCATTTCATAGAGAACTTTGACAACTTCCCTTGAAGGCCTAATGTTAGAATGTGCTGTAGGACACACAAAAGGAGTTTTTCATCTCAAACGTTCCTCAAATGCCAAATAAGAAGAAGGAACATAAATTTAAAGATGAAAGTTAATTGTACTTGATTTAAATTTTTTAAAAAGATTTCTAAATTTATATTTTCTTTTTTTGGGCGGGGGAGTACCAGTGATCAAACTCACAACCTTGCGCTTGCCAGGCAGGCGCTTATGCCACTAAGCTATATCCCCAGCCCTGTTTGTATTTTCAAGTTTTATGTGCTGTCCTTCCTGTTGTTGCTTCTGTTTTTTTAACCTTAAGAAATATTTTGTTTTGCCTTCTTGGTAATTTCTTAAAAACTCTGTGACTCTTCTTTGAAAGTCAGACTTTTTAATGTTATATCCAAAGATATTAGACTGTAAGTGTGGACTACAGCACCGAAAAATAAAAGCCTCAATTATATTCACATGTATGGAAGAACCACTGATTCATCTTCATAGACATTGTTATCCTTTAAAGACTTCACCTTCCACCATTTTATAACAAAAATGAAAAGATAAAGACCAAAGCTGCCTACATATTTGTGATTTCTCCAAATACGAAGAACACAGAAACGGCACAGTCTAAGCTGAGAGGCAGTTCTGAGCACCTGCTGCGCATGGTGGCAGACGTCCTGACCAGACAGCACCATACACGAGGCTGTTATGCTTCTTCCCATATTCCCAGGGCCTGGTTAGGGCGTGACCTCAGCCCTAAAATCACAAGCAGCTCTCTAGTCTTTGAGGCGTTTGCCTATCCCTGGATTGAGCTTCTCTCTCTGCCCTCTTGTTCTGTGTTACAGTAATTCTTCTTTACCCTTTCGCAAGTCTACTAGGATCAAAGGATTAAGTCAACCAGCTGTAAGAAGATGAAATCTGAGCACACACACAGTGGTACCCAGGCCATCTTCTTTACCAGACCTTTGATCTCTAAGCTCCTCCTGTAGGACCCTCAGGAGAGATGTCCACCTCCCTCGCTGATGAGAGCTCCTGTGGAGGCCTTTTGCACTGTGCCCAGCCTGCCCTGGGATCTCCAGGAAGCCTTGCTTATTTAAGCTCTTTTTCTCTCGGGTTGCCTTTCAGAGGCACTCTCATCCCTGCTGTAATTTGAACTTTGGGTCATCTTTGACCATGATCTCCTGGTTGTTGGCATTTTTCAGTTTTCTTTATTTCAAACATATCTCAAACATTATGAACTGGGTGTTTTTTCCTGGTGTTTGTTTTTTTAAGTTTGCCTCCCAGCAGAAAATCAAGCTTTTCTAGTAACACTTTTTCCTGATTTCCACAAAAGCCACACTTGTGTTTGTGCAAAACCTGCACAAAAATACTACTGAACTTTTCTTACAGAAGCACGCATTTCTTTTGTTCTCACAATGACCCGCCTTCCTTGGTAGTGGTCAGATTTATCAGGTTCACCTGCTGGCTTTCTGCATCCATGCTGTTCTGGCACATGGCCTCCGACTTGATTAGCTTTAAATTGCACCAGCATTTTACCCGTGTTGTCTGGTTCTTCTCCCAGGTCTGGGCAACTTTATCTTTCCTTTAAGGTCCTTCTGACAGATTCTTCCTTTCAAATGTTCCTCCCTTCAGTCCATGCAATCCTGAGAGTTACCTTTGTATAAATAATGCCACACACTCTACAACAGCATCCAGGGATGTCGCCAAGGTTTGCATTACAGTACCAAATAATTGAGTATTTTTGCCTCAATCTACTTACAAGAATATAACAAGGACAGTCACTCTGAAGCAAGGTACCATCTTGCCTTGGTGAGACTGACTTATTTCCTATATATTTAAATTAGAAGTTCATATTTGCATAGTACTAAACTATAACTCTGTCATTGTAATTTCTTTAAATAATCACCTTTTAACTAAAGGGTGTTTTAGCTACTATTATCAGACAATATGTACAATATTTTCTAATAAATTCATCTTTGCTTATATCAACAATAATCTATCAGTGCTCATCAAGTAAGTGCATTTAATCAAGAGTGATTTCTATTTGGAAACAGTAACTTTTCAGCTTCACAAATATAATTATAATTATTGTTACTATTAGTCATATTATAATTTATGAACAATTGCAATATTTATGATCTGCACATGAA